AAGTCGCCACTAGCACCAGTAGCACAATCTCATCTCCCCCCATAACCTCCTGCACACTGTCCAGCGTAGCCGCTCTCAGCACCGACTACTCCTACTACACCATCGACTACCCAGCCACCATAGAATGCGCCTGTAACGACGGCTGGACAGCCGGTATAGCCAACACGGTTGGATCAGACGGTGCCACAACCTATTACTGCGAAGTCGCATCTACGCATATCGAAGTTAGCACCGCGCCTCCAAAACCAACAACCACCAGTATAGTCCCCGCCACTACCACCTCATCTGCCGCATATGTTACGGGGACCTGCGACTTGCATATCTTTGAAGCGTCGGAATACTATAACGAGCCATTGTATCTGCAATTCAACATCACAGACGGCGGGAACAACCTGCTCACGAGCGCCAACTTCAACAGTAAATGGGGCGATACCCTTACTGTCAAATCAGGCGATACTAAACTCCCGTATGATGTTAGTGTGGATTTCCTGGAATCTACCAAGGTGTCTAGCCGCATGGCGAGGAGCAGATTCATGGAGAAACGAATAGTGGGTCCAACGCCACCCGTGACGGTGGATTGGGAGGATTGGAAATTGACCATCACAGCTGGGGATACGCATTGGGATGAGACGGATGTAACCGGGAGCCCGTATTGCTCAGTGGGACATTGGGATAATGGGAATTTTTGGGACTGGTTGAATAGTGTTGTGGGGGAGGATACGAATATTCCTGTAAGTCGTCTTTTGCGAAGATGGATACTTGGATCATATGCTGACTTGGTGATAGAATCGGCAGTTGGATTGTCATTGGGCATGCTGATGATTGATCATTGACTCAAGCCGTAGAAGTTATAACTCTCTAGCACTGTAGTCTTTCGAACCAACAACCCAAGAATCGAAACCCATAAAGTATTTTCAGGATTTCCTCTTCTCCTCATGTTCCTTCTCCACCCCGAGAACTCTCTACCCTATGCATGCTCTACTCACTCCTCTGTCTGCCATGCATCCCATCCCATCCATCATCACCAACCCCATCCGTCTGCTCTTCCTTTCAGCGTCCAGGCTCCAGCAAGCAAAGGTATTCACTCCTTTTTGAATCTTGATAGTAGGGAAGTCTGTCTGTCTGTGTGCGAGGTACGGCAGTAAAAGCTAGTTAATGGAGAGAGAAGAAAGTGTTGGAACGATGGACTTGGGTAGAGTAGAGTGTCATCGTCGTGCATGCTAGAAGATGGGCGTTTAGGGTATACTGGTAGCTGTAGCCTAGTGGTGGAATTTTAAATATGGATATGGATGTGGATGTGGATCTGATGGGCAAGTGGTTGGGTTTGTGGTGTTATATATGCTGTGAGGTTGTGGAATTGGAAGATGGGTTTGGTGGTCCGTCTTGTATACTTACGGTAGATATGCATTATGTTATTTGGAGTTCTGTGGGTGGATGGATGTGATGTTTGACGTTGCGTTCATTTCATTATGTTCTTGGTGGTGTGTTGTGGTGTAGTAGGTGGTGTTGTCAGTCGGCAAAATAGGGGGCGGGGTATTCAGTGCCTCTATTCTATTCTCGCCTCTAGACCAAAACATACATACGTCTTACTTGTAGCATATCGGAGTAACATCAAAGGAATTTATCTTTGAATGGCTCACCTCGATGTGATTTTAGACCGATAAAGCTTTCTAAAACTGAACTCGCGAATCATGGAAATCCTTGTCTGTGACACGCAAAACTACCCTCCCGAGCTCCTAAATTTAAAATCCGGCATTTGGATGTAGAGAATATCTAGATGCGTACTCGACCCATTCAAGGACAAAATAATCAAGTGGTGGACATTAATGGTACAAGACCGCTGAATCGCATTCAACAAGCCCAACAGAAACCACCTTGCAAGCCTATCTTACTATTAGCACCATTGCATACTCCCAAGTTATAAGCCAGGCAAGAATGGCTTCCTTATACCAAAACCACGAACAAGAAAGAGAGGGAAAAAGAAAGAATAGAAACATACATCAAATCCAAAACCAAGTCCACAAATACGTTTTCCAGCCTTTGCAGACAGGCTGACCAATTCTGTATGAGCTTCAACACAGTTTTCGCCGAAAGAATGCCGTGCTACCAGTCTCGACTGACGGGATATCATAAAGCATAATCCCACTACGCCCGTAGAAGCCAACAGGACTTCCACCCGCTGAATCTCGTCGCCTGGTGCAAACTCGAGCTGTGTTTCCGTCCCTTCTAAGACCAATCCCAAGTCAGTGCTCTTTCCAGCTTCCACGACACGGAGTCCGGAAACATAGTCTCGGCCGCAGAAGGGCATTAAGGATATCCCTAGATGAAAACTGTCACTTCCACCTTGGCACGGAATCGGGAAGCAAAGCCCCCGGATCTCGAGTTCGCTACAGGTGGGTCGAGCGAATGTGTTATTTCGTATATCCCCACCACAATCCTGATCCATCTCCGCAGTACACATAGCTTTCGTGCCCATCTCAACATCCAACCCTCCATTCATAGTCCCCAACGCCAGACCATCATCCCACAAAATCCGCTGTCCTTGGAGACCCCCTCTATCACAAAGAAGTTGGGTAATTCGTACAAGCGGTCCAAGCATATCCCAAATGCGTTTCCTATTCCGAAGCGAAGATATGGCGGCATTCGAATTCGGAATGGAAGGAGAGCCATCATCTGACGATGAGATACTGCTCAGGGCGTTCTTGATATATAAATACCAAGATCGCCAGTCTACTGGCGCTTGGGAATGCGGCTTCACGAGCAGGGAATACGCGAAGTCCATTTCAGAATCTAGCGAGAATCTACTGCGCCAGAATTGCTGCGTCAGGCTATTCAGAGCAAGGGCTTGAGCGAGGACTTTTGAGGATATGCGGAGGGCGGTTACTGTTTTTGTGGGTAGGTACCCAACGATCTCTTGCAAAACTTCAGATGGGAGCCGAGATAAGACATTCTCGCTGTTATTGCCGTTATATGTAATTACAGACGTAGACGTGGACGTGGATGTAGACGTAGACTCGTAAGCGTGCAATTGAAGATCATCCTTCTTTACCATGGTTGGGGCATCCAAAGCAAGCCCCGGATCCACATAAAAGAACTCCCCGAAATCGTAGCGTCGTAGCCCAGGATCATTTGGCGGACTCCAGTCCTGGAATAGAGAACGGTGGCCTTGTTCATCCCGTACAGTAGATACGAATATACGAAACAGATATTCGGCTATCTCCGAGGCATTGGCGGTAGGCAGTCGCGCGCAAAGAATACTCCAGCACGCAGCGTGCAGTGTGAAGTTGGAAGTTGTGCGACGTGTCTCACCAGGGTAACATGGATCTAAAAGTTTGAAGGCAATACCGGACTGGGTGTATCTTTCTTCTGGGTTGAGGGGGACGTGTCCGGGACCTCGGCGGCGTAGATATCCAATTCCTGTGACAAAGGATGTCGATTCCGTTCCAACGGATGAGACTTTGAAAACGAAATAGGTGTAAGCATATACGGTCTTCGTCGAATAAATCTTGTGGTAAATGATAAGTCTGACTTACTAAAACGAATTTCTTGCCACCATCTCAGGTCGTTTTCACTCGGTGACTGCAAGGTGTCTGTTGAAAGCCTTCCCGTTGTAATACCACACAAGGAACAGAAAATAGAAGTTCTCATCGTTGGCTTATACCTAGAGCAAGTGGGATTTCAGCTTGAACTTTGATGGTGGTAGGAGTAAAGAATGTCGTCTGCTGCCTGCGGGGTACTTTATGCGTAGCCGCATGTCGATTGGCTGCACTACATTGTTTAGATTTAGCCATCAAGGCTTGATATATAACAATTCAGATCTATTCATACATTCTAAGCAATCTAATCACCCATTGCATGAGATTATGGAACAATTATACCTTAGTAGTCAGAAAGGGGTAGAAGAAGAGACGGGACCCGGTGGTAGTCGCAGCGCTCCAATATAGATGTCAACCCAAATACAACCAAGTCTGACCAACAGTAGGTTTCTTACTCGTGAAACCTTCCCCTTTGGCAATTAACAAGAGCGATGAACAAGGTTCAATACATCAATACATCTAGCTGTAGTTGAAAGACTGAATCCGATTATGGGTTGTTCGGGGCGCTTCGCTCGGTTTACCCTATTAGGCAATCCGAATAATGCGGAGAAGCTTAGTACCTGAGGTGTGAAAAGTGGGGAGTTCTTGACCTCAACCTTGACGTGGAATCCACCATCGCACAGCAAACTATCAATTCTAACGCATGAAAACTCAAACTCTTGTGCATGATTCAATAAACCTAACTGCATAATATATAATACAAAACCGTTGAGAGGCATCTCAGTTCAACATAGACAATAGCGGGGTGGGGTGGGGGGCGTGGGATGTTGACTGGGCGACCCCGCATTTTCTATCGTATCGTACCTTGGAAAGAAAGTCAAATTCGATGAATCAGAAACCCGAAGAGATGTAGTTGAAAAACAATATGACATAAACTAGAGCCTATAAAAACGGCCTATATATCCATATCTTCGGAAACCATCTTTAATCGACAGGGATTTCATTTGAACCCCAGTTTTTGGAACTATAAAGTAGCTTGCATGCTACCCGCAGAGCTAAGAATGACATATAAAGCTAAGGTACCGGGGAGATGCATACGCGTTCACACTTCTAATGGAGGAGGGGTTAAGCTTTCAATGCTTGGAAAGGGTAATCCGAGAGCATGCCGTGTTACATTCCATGCCCGCATACCTACTATATACCTATAGGTTCATAAAGATCATCAGGCCCTCCAAAAGCAGGACGAAATCGAATCTCTTTCGTCGACCCCTCCTCCCACCCTATTCACATTCACATACATTAAATTGCCCTGCTCTACTCTCTTTAAAACCCCTTAATCCTCCTCCTTACATCCGTCCATCCATCCATTTCTCTACACATATCTTTCCCTCCTCTCTACCCCCCCTCGCACCCCAGCACAACCCTAGTCCCTCTTTCCCAAACACACCCCCACCAGCCTCCACCATGAACAACCTTCGCACCACCACCCTCCCCCGCACATTCCGCACGCTCCTCAAAACCACCCCCATACAATCCACCATCACCCGCCAGCACCTCGCAGCATTCTCAACCTTCCGACCCCTCCGCCATGCCTCTAAATCAGGAACCAGAGACCCCCCCTCACCACCAAACGCAGAAGCCGCAGCCCTCGTAAAAGCAAACGGACCAGCACCCACATATCTAGGCACCACCAAGCGCCTGTCCGAATTCAACTTGGTGGATAAAGTCGTGCTTGTCTCAGGAGCAGGCCGTGGGTTGGGATTGGTGTGCGCTGAGGCGCTGTTGGAGGGCGGTGCTACTGGTATGTCTACATATTCCCTGATTGATTTCCTTAGTCCTCTTGATAAATTAGCGAACATCATCAACCATCACATGAAACCCAGAACCGACGAAAAGACAGAAACACTTCAACTAACAGCAGTGAACTACTAAACAGTCTACGCACTCGACCGCCTCGAAACCCCCTCGCCCGATTTCCAGCGCGTGCAAAAGCGCGCCAGCGACGAGCTCGGCACATCCTTGCATTACAGACGCATCGATGTGCGGGATGTGCAGCAGATGAATAGCATCGTGGGCGAGATTGCCGATGCACACGGGAGGATGGATGGGCTGATTGCAGCGGCGGGAATCCAGCAGGAGACGCCGGCGCTGGAGTACACGGCGGCGGACTGCGATGAGATGATGAGCGTTAATGTGACGGGGTGTTTTATGACGTGCCAGGCGGTGGCGAGGCAGATGGTTAGGTATGAGAATAAGGGGAGTATTATTATGATTGGGAGTATGAGTGGGAGTATTGCTAATAGGGTATGTTTGCTCTTCTCTTCTCGAGCGGCCTTTTCTCTCTCTCCTCTTCTCTTCTCCTCCCTTTTCTTTCTTTCTCTCATAGGTACCTCCTAGGTATCATATCATAATAGCACACTGGCTAACGCAACACCCCACAAAGGGACTCATCTGTCCCGCCTACAACGCCTCCAAAGCAGCAGTCCTCCAACTCGGTCGCAACCTAGCTAGCGAATGGGGCCAGTACGGAATCCGAGTCAACACCATTTCGCCTGGCTACATCGTGACGGCCATGGTGGAAGCGCTGTTTGAGAAATTCCCGGATCGGAGAGAGAATTGGCCGAAACAGAATATGCTGGGGAGGTTAAGTGCGCCAGAGGAGTATCGCGGAGCAGCGGTTTTCTTGATCAGTGATGCGTCGAGTTTCATGACGGGTGCGGATTTGAAAATGGACGGTGGGCACTCGGCTTGGTGAGATTAGTAGCGAACTCGGACACCTTTTTTCTGGAGTATTGTAATCATGGTGTTTTGTTGGCGTGTTGAGCGGGCGAGCGAGCGAGCGGGCATCGTATTTATCCACAGTCCATAGTGTAAAGGTAATATCATCACCACCAATCCCAAACTCCATGTTCATCCTCCCTCAAAATCCCAACCGCTATAACTCCATCCAAACCCAAACCCCACAAATATATACATCCACCCACCTATGCCTTTATACCACAAACACAAACACATCACACCACACCCGTCACCCCGTAGCACACACGACCCGCCTCCCCCCTAACCGCCCCCACAGTCCCCTCCCTCAACTCCAACCTCTTCTCGATCTCACCCTCCCCCACGCCCCTCTCCCTCAACACAAGCACCTGCCTCAAAGTAACCACATCCAGAAAGCTCCTGCCCCTCGCGCCCCTACGGCCTATACTCTCGAACTCCCTATCCGCCTCCTCTGCTAGTCGGTACCGCGCTGTCAGGAGGCTGACTGCTGGGTTTTGACTCGCTTGGGGGAAGATGAATTGCGAGGGTGCAGACGAGGAGGGGCGGAATTGGGGGGTTGATGATGCCGATGCGTGAGAGGAGGAGGTGGTGGTGGTGTTGGTATTGGTGGATGTGGCAGGGGGGGAGGGAGCGTGGAAGGTTGAGGAGGCAGAATAGGTCGGGTTTGGTTGTACGGGGCCGAGTTGCTGGAGGCGCGCTGCGAAATCTGGGTCTGAGGCATCGCGGTTTATGTCTAATTGATTGGTAGGTAGGTTAGCTTTGGCTAGTCCATAGAGAGGAATGGATGGGGTGCTGTGGGTGAGAGAAAAGAAAAGAAAAGAGAGAAAAGAAGAGGAGAGTGCAATTACCTCGGTCTCGTGTAGATGTCGCTTTTGGCTCCGGATGTACTTGCGGTCCTAAGTTTGTGGCAGTAGGTGAAGGAGAAGAACGAAATGGTTGCGCGGATGGAGTGCTGGATGTTGATGTGGGAGGAGAGCGAGTTGGGTATTTGCGGGCTGTTTTTGTGGTTGCTTTTGATACTGATGCTGCTTTCGAGGCGGCTTTTGAAGAGGCGTTGCCCATTGTGATGTCGATGTGATGTGAGGTTTTGTCGGGGGGTCGGGAATGAGGTTTGTTGGGGTGGAGTGAGTAGGTTGGTTGTTGAGTGATGATGGGATCAGATCGGATGTTTTGAAGCTATATGTTGGCGGCCTTAGGTTGGAATCAATGATGAAATGAAAGCCGCGGCTGTGCTAACGAGGCTGAAAGGAGTTATATAAATATAATAATTTTCGTATTTTAGGAATATTGTACTAATTAGAAGTTGTACGTAAATCCTCCTTGCACATAGAATATTAAAAAAGATATAATAACTCATGAAACTGTTCTGTATTTCCGGGGCTATATTTGCTATGACTTTCAGAAGGCTCAATCAAGGTCTATAATATACTTCCTCGGTCTAACAGCTAATTCACAGAGGTCGATTTGGTCTTAGTAGACTTTCTTTCAGTAAAGCCTCTCTGTATAACAAAAAAGAAAAACCATTTACACGTGAAAAGTCTATAGTACTGTACGTGCGATTGACTCGGTAAACCTGAAAGATCCTCGGTATTAGGATTTGGGAAGAAATGGTTAGGGGTATACTCTCTATCTAATGATTCGATCCCAAACGCGGCATTTGCACTTGCTTCTGAAGATCTCGCAATTCTTATCGAAAGGGGGAACACTGGGATACGAGTGCAGGTGTAATGCCCGCTTGACTAGGTATAACAGATGGTCGGATTTAAGAGTTGAAGGGAGTATCTCCGGATTAGGGTATTATTTTTAGATCTTTAATGATGCTACTATATGTTTTTGTTATCAGGAAATCTTTAATCACCGGGGACATGTTGCCATATCTATAAGACACATTCACGCCGTCCTACATCGCCTTCAACTCATACAGGACGTTCATGGAATGAATGAACGAACGAATGAATGAATGAATGAGATAAATATTTAATCGAGAGCTCAAAAAACTTTACCCCTCTATCCATCATTCTTGCTTGATCTGAAACCCACCAATTCCAAATTTCACATTCAGTCCAACTCAACCGCCAGAATGTCATTCGATTGTTGCAAGTCAGGCTTCAAATGGGACGGAAAGCCAATTGGCTCAGAAGGTGCCCTTGATAAGAACAAAGCCTACATCACCGGCTCGAACAAGGATGTCGCTATCTTGATAATTCATGATGTATTTGGCTGGACATTTAACAACCTCCGTATTTTGGCAGACCACTTTGCACAAGAAGTTGATGCCACCGTCTACCTTGTAGATTCGTAAGATATCCCGTCGTTCTTGACGTCTATACCTATACACTCTCGGAGCGGAAAACTAATCGATCGCATGCATAGCTTTGGCGGCGAAGTCGTTGACGAAAACCTTCTCGAGTCCGCCGTGAAGACAGGGGATGCCGAAGTGCTGAAAAAACTCGATATGCCAGGCTTCATGGGCCGCAACTCCAAAGATATCCGTGGGCCCGAGGTTTTCGCCTGCGCCAGAGCTTTGAAGTCGCAATACAAGAAGATTGGCGCTGCGGGATATTGCTTCGGTGGATGGGCATCTTTCCAGCTCGGAGCGAAGGGCAACAATCTCATCGATGCCATCTCGGTTGCACACCCATCGCTGCTCGTTAAAAGCGAGATTGATACGCTGTTTGTGCCGACACAGATTCTGGCTCCTGAGACAGACCCGCAATTGACGCCAGAGCTGAAGGAGTATTGCAACAAGGTCATTCCGGGTTTGGGTATACCATACCAGTATGACTACTACCCAGGTCTCGTGCATGGATTTGCTGTGAAGGGTGACCCAAACAATGCAGAGCAGAAAGCTGGACTGGAGAGAGCGAAGAACGCGACTGTGTCTTGGTTTAATGAGTTTTTGCACTAGATCAGGACTTGGGAATGGTATCAGACAACAGATGATAGAAATACCAGAATCTATTCATAAAGATGAAAAAATAGATGAACGATACCCAGAAGAGCACTGTTCTAGAGATATTGCAATGGTGGAAGCACTATGTTTCCTGGGCAGCGGAGACTATCTGATACGCTGTGAAACGATCGTGTAGGATAAGACTTGCCAGACATGTCGTCGTTTATGGTAACAAGTTCGTCAACTTGCTAAGTGTTATGGAGGATCAGAAATCGGGATCGGAGAAATATGGAATGCGCAAATAGATGAGATGCTTCCTCCACGTCAGGTATGCATCAAGAGTTGGGCTAAACACGCGCCTCAGCCCCTTGATCTCTTATCGTAGCTGACGCGGCGACCTTGAAATATCAACATGGCTGATAACATCGGACAACACTAGGTAAGTCTTATGGATTCTTTACAATTTTCACAGAGGCGTGGAGTCTGTTCGCTTCAAGATGAAGATCTTCAACAAGAATGTGATTATTGCTTTTCAATTTCTCTTTAGTCTTCCATTCGCAAATTCGCTCCAGCAGCAACCCCTCCTTCAAGATGCCTCCACAACAGCAACAAGCAGCTCTTGGAATCTCAATTTCTCTTCTTCAGCACCGCACTACTTTGCATCGGCCTATGGGCTACTTCAGCAATGGTCGAATACATTTTTTCCACACGGCCACAGCCTTGTGCCCTGCCAGATTGCCCCTCTAACGAACCTGTACCACGGCCGAATGGATGCAGATGTACCGCCAAGTCCAGAATGGGTAGCATTTGACATGCAGGTCTCCTAAGCCGAAGACACAGATGCAATATTGACAGCTTGGTAGAGGAATGGCATACGGGATCATGGGCGGGAGTCGGAACTCCCATATGCTCACATATCAAACTACACGGCCAGTCAAATGCGTATACTTCGATGGCGAGTCAGCCACCCTGTTTGGCACGGGTCAGATGGATACACAGATGCTGCACATATGGGGTAACTTGACCGGCCCACCGAGGCCAGAACATGGAGGGTTCCAGTTTTTATGGGAGGAATACGCTCGTGCCAGTGGGATTTGCGATTGGTTTCGCAAAGAAGGTCTAGGTGGCCCTGGCTGGGGATATGAGGGGGTTGTGAGGATGAACGCAGGATTTGAGATGATTTGGTGTGACTTCACGAGTCCTTCGCTGCGTCTCATCTCCCACCTGAATGTCACAACTCCTCTTCTACCGCCAAAAGTCGACGAGGAGCATGCTTTGCGCGGGCACTCTACTATCAACTCGGAACCGACATCCTACTTCCCTCTCCCACCATCTCCTACTCGCACAGACAGCTCCCTAGACCCATCGACTGCTCCATTGCCTCCCCTTGATGATCAGTGGCAGCAAGAACCCTTTCTATCCAGCAAGCTTTGGTTTTGGTTCGTGAGCGGCGTGGATCATTATGGTTCTACGGGCGATGGGCCGAGCACTGGCGAGGTGCGGGTCAAGCCTCTCAGTTGCGGGTTTTTGAGCTATTACTCTCCAGAGTTTTTAAATCAAGCTCTATCGCGTGCCAAAGAGGAGCGAAAGGTGCTCAATTTGACGACGGATGGGTACTGGGCTGGTCCTGCCAAGAATGATTCAAGATTCGAAGCGTTGAAAGCATTGACTCGGAGACGCAGATCGCATGCACTTGATGGTGTTACTGGCCCAGAAGCGGCTTTCATGAGAAATAACTCCGAAAGAGTACTGAGGGATCTTCTCTCTCCATCACCTGTCAACTGCAGTGGTATCGATTGGAATGTCATGACGAACGAAATCGTTTCAGTCTACGCCGGCCGGCTAAACATCCTCTTCAAATCTTTACATAAGCATGAGCAATTGCCGAAAAGCAATCAAACAGCGTTGATAGACTGGTTGGCTTCAATTCGACAGCAAACACATGATTTTCTTCTCCCATTCCTCGAGTATCCAGAAGAAGACACAGACGAAGCTATATGGATGAGAGAATCGTATATTTTCAGGAAAACCTATTCTCGCTGTCAATTCCAATACACGCGCCTACTTGACCCAGAAGAGGGATTTGATCTTGGTCCGGAAGAATGGACAATGAAATGGGCTGTGGAAGAGACTCTTGGTGGGATTTGTGATATTCTCGTCGATGTCGGCTTGTCAGTAGAAGGGCTTTGGCAAACTAAGTTCAGCGCTCCATCAACCATCTCACCCCGAACGCCTATTTCTGAAGGCCTAGAAGCTGAATTCATACGCTGGACACAAGGTGTAGAAGAGTTGATGGCATGGCTGGGTTGGGCTGGCGAATGGACTCGCTGTGAAAAAAAGTGTGATTTGGATGAGAAATGTTACATTCCAATGTGGCCATTGGTCAACATGGGTCGTTTTCCTGGTGGGAGATATCCTCCACCACACGGTCCTGGGTACGGCTACCCGTACCCGCCCCCATATCCTTACGGCAGGTTGCCAGACTTCCCACGGAATCGGACGGATGGAGGTCCAGGTCGGGGACGGGGATGGGAGCAGGATGAGACGACACTTTGGGATCCTATCTGTGTGAAAGCTGACTACATTACACGGGGGTGAAGAACAAGAACAACATACTGGAATCGCACGGTTTGTGCTGAACTAGGTCATTGAACCCAACGGTAGGATGCGCGTGATCAAATTGAACAGTCCGATCTGAGAAGATATACTGCGGTCTTTCAAAAAAATGAAATCCATTCTGGGGAAAGTTTCTTGGGTACTTGTAGCTGCACCTTGGTACACACGGCTATCAATTATAGCCACTAGCTAAGAGCGAAAATAGCCTATGTCGCAACTGAAATCTGGAAAGTCATATACACCTTGGTTTAGATAGAAACAAAAGAAACGGAATCTGACGGTCGAGATTCAGAAGCTGACCGACTATCACTTATCGAATTATTCTTCATCCTTACCAACCCTTCCGCTTCTCCACACCGAAGGCAGTAGTCTCTTTCTCATCCCTGCATTTCCGAAAAACAATTGAATTCATCGCCTTATTAGTACGTCACACCGGTATGTCAGATCGCAAAGCTTCAAAAATAAAACGCGGTGGCTGGAGATTTCGAGGTCCTTGCTCGTACCACAGGAGCCCAATCGCAAAAAGCTCATGCATGGCTTCCCAACCCCCCATATGCAGTTTAGCGCCAGCTGCAAGAGCTGCGAATAACTTCACCCAATTGGCCCGGTCTGCGCTATGTACAGCACATCAAATCCTATCTAGCCTGGCGGTTCGAAACGTGACACCAATTAATTCTTATTCTCCTACAGCTTGTCTTTCTTCCTTTCTTCCTTTTCTTCTTTAATTGTTTTCTGGTCCGAAAAGTGTTTTTAAGCGTTGGCGTATTGGGAGTTCTTGAGTCGGTAAGTACGGAACTTGAGAAGACGAGTGAAGCATGAAATACAGGCTAATATTCAGGCAGTAAAAATATTGAAAAGGGAGATATAAAAAAAAGGAGGCCGTCGAGATGGAAAGCGAAACCCTGACGTTTATGCCGAACGGCGATGTGACATTGCGACTCGTACGACCCATAGGACAACCACCGATCAAAAAGAATTCTTTGAACGAGAGCGAAAAAGCACCCGCCGAAGAAGAGGAGGCTGCGGAAGATGACAATGTTTTGTTCTTCGCGCCCGACCCGCCGGAAACAGAGCACACTGCGAATATCTTCTCCCCACCGATACGGGGGCGGCGCGATACAGATCTGAGTTCCATTCGCGAGCGATCCGCCAGTCCGCCGCCAGGATTCTGGGCAAGGCTAAAGAAGGAACCTGTTGTGATATTGCCGGAGAGCCAGGATGTTAATTGCGTGGTCTCATCGGGGCATATGATGCTTGCGTCTGCGTATTTCCAGAAGAGGTTGGCGGGGGAGTGCGTCGATGCTGCTACGTTGAAAAGCACGGGACGTGCGACGATTTCCCTCGATAATGACCCGGATACTTTCGCCATTCTCTTGAACATCATACATGGACGCACAAGACAGGTCCCGCGGCAGGTGAGCCTTGATTTACTCAGCAAGCTGGCGGTCTTGATAAATTACTACGCCATGCTGGAATCGGTCGAGTTGTTTTCGGATACTTGGATAGAGAATCTGAAAAGGGAAGGGATGCCAACCGAGTACAATGAGCATGTCCTTCCATGGCTCTTTATCTTCTGGGTTTTCGAAAAGGGCGATGACTTTAGAGATATGGCACGACTGGTGCAGCGAGAGTGCGATGAAAGGTTGGATGAGCTGGTGGGGGCAATCCCTCTGCCACATGCAATGATCAGTGAGTCAAATCTCTATGTTAGAGCTGCCTGCATATATTAACCTGAAGTAGAAGCGATGAAGAACGGCCGACGAATCGCCATCGACACTGCCATAAGTGCTATCGATCAACTCATCACAAAATACATGGACGGCAAAGTAAACTGCACACACGATGGTGAATCCCTGCGATATTCCTGCGATGCTATGGTTCTGGGTTCCTTGATGAAAGGTGCGCGAACTATTGGTATCTGGCCCAAACCAGCTGCTCCATTCCCCGGGAAGATACTCAGAAAGCTGCTGGATGAGATACGGAGTATCAAGGTCCTGGATGTATGCAGCCAACAGGTTGATGCGTCTGGTATTCGCTATCCGGCTTCGAATTGCCATGGGATTGAGGATTCGATCAAGGCCACGATGGGAATTATCGAAGATGGACTGGATGACTTGGAACTTGACGACTACAAGAAGGATAGGTGAGTGATCCCATGCCCTGAGTCTCACCCCTCACTAATCAACGTTTAGCGAGAAACTTTGGGATGAGTTCCCAACCAATCTTCCGGCACCCGTCGAGAAGGTAAAGGAGCCTTCCATCATAATGCCACAAGTTGTTGAGGAAACCGCCTTAGAAATTGAAGAACCTGTGCCACAAAGCTTTGAACTGGATGAAGATATCGAGGAAGATATCGAGGACCTGGTAAAGGAATTCAGCTCCGAAGTCAAGGTTGAAAGGTGGTTCTCCAACGACTCTTTCAAATCTCTTCCTCTGGATGATGTCAGTGCAAAGATATCCGAAGAAGAGCTGAGGGCCGACGATACCAAAGAGAACCATGCTCCATGGGACTCGTACTCGATTCCTCGAAAGGAGGTGCAATCAAAGTCCTTCGATAGAGAAGCGCGACGAGAGGAAGTGAAGGAGGATCAAGCTGTCCAGCAACCAACATATTGGAATGATGCTACGACGGACTCTTTCGAGCCGCGCCCTATACTTGTGGAGTTAAAGCTGGGCAAACAAGGCGAGCAAGACGCGAATTCGGTACACTCGAACAGTAGGACAGATTTTCGTATTGGTAGCCCTCTCCCTGTGGAAGTGAAGGAGAGTCGCCCTTCAGAGCATGGTTCAACATCGCCATATCGGAGGGACTCACGGCCGGAACCGGTTGACAGAAGAAGCCCAGTGACAGTGGATGGAAGAAAAAGTCCTGAGCACTCTCCCCAGTCGCCATATCGGAATGGAATAACCATTGGATCCCCCAGACAGGGCCCCATCGTGGACGAGGTCAAGCGTGATCACTCTCCCGTACAAATCCCGAACTTCCCCTTTCATAACAACACGAGAGCAGAATCGCCCAGAGGCCGCGCCGCTCTAGAAGATATGAGAATGGACCAAGTTATCCACCAGTCGCGGGACTCAACGCCTCGAAAAGAGGCAAGGTCAGATCTCTCTGTACGGAGTCCCGTACGGGAAAAGAAGGAAGAAGACCCCACGATCGCGCAGCTCTTGAAATCACCACTACCCCGGTCTAGTCACAAGAAGGAAATTCCTGAGCGCAGAAGCTCAGTGAACGAGGACTTAAAGAGGCATTATCCAGTTGTGCCACCGCATCGAAACGACGATTCTCCCAGACGTAGAGAAGTTCCCGAGCACGCTCATGGCCATGCACCTTCTTCGCTAGCCCGAAACCCACCTTCGCACCCACCATCGCCAAACACCATCGTGAAACAGGACTTGTTCAAGCGCAGTCCCGTTCACGATGCTGCGAAAGACAGACACACGCCCTCCCCGGCCCCGAACGGACTGCATCGCGATGTCAGTACTTCGAAATCCGATCTTGCGGACCACCGCCGACGCAGCCCTGTGCCTGTCTCTGAGGCTTTGAAGCAGGTGTATCCTTTCGAGCAGGATATCAGTACTTCGGAGGTTCCTGGCGAAGGCGTCAAAGTCACGGATAACTGGCGCGGGAGTTCGACTTCAACTTTGGGAGACGCACCTAAAGCCAAACCGAGAACTGAAGATGTAAAGCCAATCGTGCCGAAGGAGGATGTGCATATCACGTCGAATATCATTTCGGCGAATGGCGAGGATAATGATTTATTCATACCGCCGACGACGTTCAAGGTGAGGAAGTCGAAGAAGAGGTTCGCGACGAGGTTTTGAGGAAGGGGGGGGATGGTGTTATGTTATGACGAGATGATTATGATTTGATGATGCATGACGAATGACGGATCATGAGTAATGTACAGACACAGACTGACTACATGGGTATGGGTGATGATTTGGGATTTCCGCAATATTGTAACTTTCTCTGAGCGTTTGATTTTATTTCATTTGTTATGTCTATTTAGTATAGTATCCCAATATTCTCGTACCTATCTACTTTATTTCACAAAACAGAGATCAAGCTGCGCGCGCCATCTATACAGTAGTTTCGAGTAAACTCGCCGAAGGCTCCAATCCATCCCCCATTCTCGTGATCTGTCCAGCCCATTGCATATTCGCCGCGCCAGTTCCCACTAGTTTTAACGGAAATTTCTTTACCAACCACGGTGCCTGGTAAGGTACTAGAGCAACCGAGGCTCGCTCATCTGGAACTTCCGATGTGTTCAGAATAATCTCCTTGGGCAACTTCGGCTTCACAGTCGCGGGACGTCCGATGCCAATCAGGTCACAGCCACCCGACTTCAGAGCCTCCTCCATCCCAATACGCGTTCTAAATCCGCCTGTTACCATAAGCACCAGCTGCGGAAACTCCTTTCGAACAGTCTGCGCGAACTCCAAGAAAAAGCTTTCGCGCAGAGCTGTGCTCTTCTTCACGTTAGCTGGAGGCGCCGCCGTGCCGTCTCCGACCATCATCCTTGGATTCTCGTAAGAGCCGCCTGATATCTCAATAAAGTCGATGCCGCATTCAGCCACTAGACGTATCTGAGCGATGACGTCGTCCAGGGATTCCGAAGACGCGGCGTCGACGCTATTCATCTTGATACCGATGCAGAATTCCTTGCTGGTAGCCTCTCTGACGGCGCGGATGACTCGGAGAACGATCTCTGCTCTCTTCGCGGGGGTCCCACCGAACTCGTCTGTGCGGAGGTTGGTCAAGGGTGATAGGAATTGCGCGAGGAGGTAACCGTGACTGTGCACCAATTACAGGTCAGATGACTTTCAGGCTTGCTTGAAACAAGAAACACATTTACGATTCTCTACTTACGCTCCGTGAAGCTCGATGCCTTTGAAACCAGCTTCGAAACTTTGTTTCGCCGCTTCGACGAATTGATCCACGACACCACCTTCCCCACTGATTTCCTCAATCGTCATCTCCCGTGGCGTTCCGAACAAGAGCGTTGCTGCAAGCTTGTCGAGGATACCAGCTCCAAAGTTCAGTTTGACGGGGGAAGCGCGATTGTCTTGGCGAAAAAGCTGCGATTGCTGATTCCAGCCGGGGATTGACGGCCTGGATGACAGACTTGCACGATAGTGGGCGTTCCTGAGCGCTGGCAGGTAGCGGCCCATGTCTTCCATACTTCTTTTGTCTCTGGAGAAGGATCTTTGGACGCATGTGATAAGATTGCCACATCGCCCGGTCCTCCGAGGTGAGCATCCGAGATTTGTACATTGCCTGTGATGCTTTCTTTAGATATTGTATAAAGATGTGAGGATCAAGAATTCATCTCACCCGTTAATATCATACCCCAACCCCCGTCTGCCCATTGGCCATATGCGGTTACAGACTTCTGGTTTGGCTTGTGATCTGGTCCCGGAGCCAAATTCTCAGCCATTGCGGCCTGGTTGTTCATTTTCAGTTCGGTCGTGACGCGATAAGATCAAGGTATGGGATTCGGTACATACCTTGCAAAGCCGGTTTGGGAGACGAAGACCACATGGTAGTTCAATCTCTTCTGAGAGCAACATATCTACCCTACCTGGTGAGATAATTCTGAAGGTGAGATCTGAATAGTGAACGCGCGTGTGGTATGGTATAACAGTATTGGTTGCGATAGGAACAGATGGTTGTACATACAAGCGAGATGATAAAAGAGAAGAGAGATGAATAAAGAGAAGAGAAATTATTAAGAGGTAAACAAAACCACCAAGCACGGACGATCGAACAGCCGGTGTGGTAAAGACCTACGCCGTGGCGGCGGTTCAAGACCCATTAGAAAGCAATATGGGTTTGTATTATTAATGTGAAGTCGCAGGACACATCTCGGAGACATATTTGAAAATCTCGTACTTGCGGGGTGTAGATGTCCCGAAAGTCATTGAGCAGAAGTCGACTTCACGTGACTAGACTGAGTTGGGTAGATAGTTCCCATTTTCAGTTGGAATGTAGAATGGAAAGAGGACAGAATGATATAAGAATAAGAAGAGGGAGGCGAATTGGCCAAATGGGAAGCTGTGTAAGTGTGCTTATATCACGTGCTGGTAGACATTTCAAGTTGAATTTCCAACAGAATAATCATAAAATAAAAGCTGTAAGAACTTGCTGAGACTATAGCCTAGATTATTGATCTGGTCGATGATGGTCGTAGGAAGCAGGCGGCTCCAAAAGTGTAGCACTGCTTATCCTTTTAACTTGAAGCAAATCTTGAGGGGAGGAAGATATTAATAGTATAAGGATTTTTTGCTCAGTGCCTCGTGCTCAGCCATCCTCAGCTGATTGGTGTATTTTCTGATTGAAAGACCTATGAGAAATGATTCGATACGCTGCTTGGTGTACTGTAGCGTAGGATTTAAGGTGATCAGTAAAGATCGTTGGACGCGCTAAAGCCTAAAGGTAGCCTGAAACTTGACAGTTCTCTATACTGTACTGTACCGGGATTTCCGTATTCTCTAATCTATGGATCAAAAGTTTAAACAATGGAGATAGCTTCAGTCTGAGTACGGAGTAAGTAAATTATGAACATGCCATGTTTCACTTCGAGCGGCCCGATTCGTGGTTCTTTCATTCCAACTCACGCGTCGTACTTACCTTCACCGTGCATCGCATCGCCTACAATACTCCGTACAGTGTTACGGATGTTACGGAGCAGGCTGAGGTCCGTGAGGGCAGTGGAAGTGTTTCAAATGTCACCTTACGGCACGGGCACCTACGGAGTATACAGACCCATGCATCCATCTACGCAGGGCAGGGGAGGCAGCAGATGTCTTCTGATTTGTCGATTGATACGGCGGATGCATCGAAACAACAAAATACAATGGAACATGTCGGTCGTCAGCTTTTAACACGAGCAAATCCTATTTTCTGACCAGATCCTTACAACATTCTTCTTAGCTGTTGCACTAATACTTCCAAGTACCCGCGCTCACTCATATTTGTACTGAGAGAGGCTTAGTTTGCTATTTTTAAATGTAAATGTTCCACAACCAACCTCCACATAAAGAGAGTGATCGCACTTCGGAATTTGTTTCAAACTCTCTTCCAACTCGCTGAACCACCACGCTCCTTTATATACTTTCTACTTGTTCCAAGATGTTGTCACGCCCATTCCCGGCGCGCGTTGTATGCGCAGTCGCCCTTGGTCTCGGCCTTCTCTTCCTATCTTTTTCGTCGTATCGCGATCGCTTGCCGCACGAGGTTCCGTCACGAAGCTCGCATTGGTATAGCCATTCCACCCTGAAAGCTCCCTTGGAAGCCACGTCTACCTCTACCACGGTTCCCATCCCAGCTTGTACAACACCTATTGAAATTGTCCATGCCATCCGAACTACCTCCTCCACTTCCTCGCCCTCTCCCTCACCCTCACCCACTTCGCCCCACCCAAAGTCGAACGATCGGTGCAATACATTGAAGAAATCGGATGACATTGTAGTAATCTTGAAGACGGGCGCAAACGAGGTTTTCGAAAAGCTCCCAACACAGATATTGACCATGCTGCAATGCGTCGATAATCTGCTCATTTTCTCCGATTTGGAACAGCAAATAGGCGCGTATCATATTCACGACGCCTTGAAGGATATCGCGGATGAAGTAAAGGATGGTAACCCGGATTTCGATTACTACCGGACACTGCAGGAGTACCACAAAACGGGGCAAAACATTGGCACAATCAGAGACGAGACTGGGGAGTCGGCCTGGAACTTGGACAAATACAAATTCCTGCCCATGTTGGAGAAGACGTGGGAAATGAGACCAAACAAAAAGTGGTACGTCTATATCGAGGCCGACACCTACTTGGTTTGGTCGAACCTGTTGCTTTACCTGGACCGTCTCGATCCCACCGAGCTGGTATACCGCGGATCGCCAACATACAGCAACGATGAAGCATTTGCGCACGGGGGCAGTGGTTATATACTCTCCGGTGCCGCAATGACCAAGGTTTTTGGAAATAGGCCTGGGGTAGCTGCTAAATACGATCCCAAAGTGAAATATGAATCAATGGGCGACTATATGCTCATGAAAGCCTTGAGGGAAGAGGGTGTTGAGTTAAAGGCGGTCTGGCCAATTTTGCAAGGAGAGAAGCCTGCAACGATACCTTTCGGTGGAGGACCAGACAACGGAGCAAGACATTGGTGTCAGCCTCTTCTTACAATGCACCACATTTCCGCAAGTGAAATCAGCCAAGTTTGGCGGTATGAGCTAGAGAGAACAAATCCCATGGTTCGTATCCCATTAACCTCATGTCGAGCGACAATAGCTAATTGCATCATGTAGGAACCCTTTTTGATGGAGGAGTTGTACCATAATCTCGTACAGCCGAGTATCGTTTCCGAGCGCGACGACTGGTACAATTTATCCGACGACCAACAATACAGAGCACCCGGCGAAGATGGAGAGCGTCAGAAACCATTTGAAGAGCAATCAGAGCTTGAAAAAATGGCCTTCAACTCCTTTGAAGATTGCCGTGCTGCTTGCCAGGAAAATGCAGGCTGTTTTCAGTACACCTTCCATGATAACACTTGTGGCTTCTCATTTTCCTGGCGCTTGGGCCACAAAAACAAGCCCGACGACCAAGGGTCATACAAGTCCGGTTGGATCACTGAAAGGATCGAGAAAGAGCAGGCCGAATATCCTTGCACAGAACCAAAGTGGGAATGATAAGTAAAGCACGATAGGGTTGAAGCCCCTCGAGATTTATTTAATGATGGTAGACTCTTCGAGAGAGCTCCACATTTGTCACACTGGCGACACCGAACTCAAGCAATAGCTTGCACATAGCCAAAGGAGTGGCATATTTGTTCAGGCCTTGGTCGAATGTCAGACGCAAATATACAGCGACGACTGCTGTAAGCGGCGAAAGACAGCAGTAGACTGCGAGTTCCAGAAAAGATGGAAATAGCACCAGGGCTCAATTGGGAAGAACGAGCTGGAGCACTAGGTAGCGAGGGAACTGCGAGCCGCACGCACATCTTAAATAGCCTTAGCGCTCGCTCACTCGCTCGTGGCATGTAAGATAGATAGGATTTCAAAAGGATTTGACAGGTAGTGAAATCTCACTCAGCCATAAGCAGCTTTAGATTTTAAGCATATCACAAATCATCCCGACACCCTTATTTCGTTTTTGTCTCGTGTAATCCGTTATTCAGCTGACTACTCCACGCCATTCCGCCTCCACTTTGTGATAGCTGATTGATTACTCCGTATATGATTAGTATTTCCCGCCCATCATCAAGCCTCAAGGATGTTTGAAAAGGGGCTTGACTTAACTTGACTTGACTTGACGCGTCACGGGTGATAAGGTTGCTGCGCATTCCACTGGAAAGCTGGCTCTCACTTTGTAATCTGGCGTTCGTTTACTGCTAGGCGTACATTAGTACATACATACCTACCTACATACTTCTTCCCGAACCACGGTCCACGCGTCGCTCCTATGGTACAATACACACGTCCAAATGTAGAAAGCGAAATACACTAGAAGCCGCGACTGCTCTACTTGTACCGCTTGCTGGTTGACTATAGGTAGGTAACGCTGAACGCGCGCAGTGCTGGAATTAAGACGGGGATGGGATGGGATGGGATGGAGTGGGACGGGACGGGACGG